ACAAAGAAGCCAAGGAAACAACCCCTGAAATTTTACAACTCAAGAACACAGATTTCTTATCCACAAAGATAATAGATCTGGAAAGAAAATAGGAGGAGTAGGTTGATAAATCAAATAAAAGAGAGTATCAAAGTTAAATCGCGGAAGCAAAATAGGTATACAAGAGCTTAAAGCTCTGATACCATGTAAGAAAGTGAAGTTTTGAGATTGAAGAACAAGAGAGAGATGAGAGAAAAAAAGTAAAGAAGGAGAAACTTTTTCCTTAGATCTCAAAAATAACGTTACAAAGAGTTATAAAGAGATAGAGTATTCTTATTCTAGTAACCAAACACACTTGGCTTACTAGAGAAGCTAGAATAAACAACTAATTTATTTATTTAATTTAATATGTACCTCTTCTATAGTTTGGGTTCATGCTCATTGCTTTAATATGGATAGTGAGGTTTTTTTTTTTGAACTTAGATAGTGAGTTTCTTTCTTCTTAAAACTTCTTCCAAGTGCTTCACATATTAACTGCTCAACATGAATAATCATATGACTATCTCAAAGGAAAAAGTCGTGCCTCCTCCTACACCAGATAGCTGGAAAACTTCCTCCAAGTGCTTCAAATAATTTTTGCAACTGGCATTGTCTTTGGAGGCTATGACTTTACTGGCCATCGTTTATTTTGTGCTGCTTACAGAACCAACTTATTCTTGGTATCTAACATATAAACAATCTTTCTCTCTTTTTCTTCAATCAACTTCTCCATCACACAAGCATAACTCTCATTGTTCTTTTCAATAGAGAACATTCCATGTAAGACACTTGAGAGGCAATGAATATGAAATGATGTCCGCAAGTCAGTAGTGTGGGGCAAGCTCTTATATTCATCACTTCATCAAAGAGGTAAGTATTTTGTAGAACGACCTGGTTTGTTTTTGTTGTCTTCTAATAGCAAAAGCGGTAAAGCATAAAACATTGTCTCCTAACACTATTTTACATTAAATATAGTTTAGACAAAAAAAACTATTACACATAATCCGCGAGTACACTGATCTAATATGATATTATAGTAAAATAAATTTTATCATTTATTTTAAAACCCAAACTATGAATTCAGATAGCATGATTTATTTGATTTTAAAAATAATCACATATAAAATTATATATAGTTACAATTTTTATAGAATTCCTTTACCTACCTATTTTACGTAATTTTATTATAATAAATAACCTATTTCTGCATTGTATAACTTAATAATTTTAAGAAAAATGTATAAATGCAAAAAGTGTCGCCAAATTCAAAAAATTAACATATAACAATTTATTCATGTTTTGTGTGCTGAACATAATCGAGTACAGTCTTAAAACTATTTTACTTATTAACAAAGTTAAAATAGAACAAATATTGAGAACAAAGTAAAACAATAACAGTTTTATATCTTTTTAAATGATGAAACAAGTATATATTTTATTAAATAATAAAAATGCAATGAAAACAGAGAAAACTTTTAATTGAATTTTTATTTTTTTCTATGCAAGAATTAATGTAATTTTTTTTTGTTTTTTTCTATGCAAGAATTAATATTAGGAAAAATCAAACAATTTTGACAATGAAACAAAGCCGCAACAAAGCTAAAACATCTTTTCATATTGGCAAACAACAACTGTAGTAAAGATAACTATCTCGGTACCTATCTCTATGCCATAATTTTGCGACGCACAAGAGAACATGAGGAATGCAAATGGAGAAGTTCTTGGATTTTGTTTTACGGTGACTAACAAATCTCTACACTCATTGACCGCTACTCAGTTTTACACTTTTGGGGTTCAGTTTTTTTTAAAAAAAATTGATTAGGTTCACTTTATCTTCTTCGCATTCATTATAACATTCAACTTTTAATAAAAAATGCAGCTTCATATAATCACCACTTCCACTCTAATAACATGTCGAAAGAATATAATTTCAACATAAAAAGTAATTACTCTTATAACATACACAAACAATTACCTACAACCTAATTCTTCCGAACCCAAAATATTACAAACCACCTGGATATGAAATCCATTTTTGTTAAAGAAAACAACGTAAAGACGATTCAAAGCCTTCACAGCATGTCAACGCCACATTCTTTAATATAGAAACAACTATTTAGTTTTAAATATATCTTATCACATAAAATCCTTTCATACTTAATTTTTTTTTGGAAAACAAAAATCATTATCATACACATCTCTTACAGATGCAAACATAAACCACAAATCCTAAAATCATACAAAAATAATAACATAGTTAATAAATAAAATATATCCCGGCCGTAGGACGGGCCGCCCCTAGTATAACTATAAAGTACTGTATAACGTAAATTTTTGAGAATGTGTTCTTTTATTTTCTTTCGTGTTCATCTTCTTGTTTTATATATGAGTCTATTTAACATCTTCATCCAGATTTGTTATTGATTGGAATTTATTCTTATTATTTAGCTGTTTTCCTTGATCAAATCAAATTGCTAATTTGAACGACTTTTGTATTCATCTTTTTTTTAAGACTTTTGTGTTCATCTTAAAGTTGCTTTGAATTTGATTCTTAGTGCTTAATTTCTTTGCCCACTCGAACTTGGTTTTCGATTCTTGCTGTACATTTTCGCCTTTCACTTACCTAATATCTTACACTTTCTTAATGAATTTCTTTTCTTGGACCGGGTTTTATAAAATTGGGTACATAAATATATATATATATATATATATATATATATTAAAAATTTTAAAAATATTACATATATGTTTCTAAAAGACTTGAATATGACTTGAAAATAGTTTGAAACGACTGTTCAATATAATTCATATATTTAGATAATTTTTGAACAAATGGCAAAAGAAATGACATACATACCAATATAATAAGAGTAATTGTTAGGTTCACTAACCAATATGATTACATTATTTTATATTCATTATCCTTTAGAAAATGAAATAAAATATTGTTGAGTTATACTATGTTTTTAAAATTTTAAAATAAAAATAACTGTAGTTGCAAAAAAAAATTAATTTTTTTAATACTATTATCAAAACACTAAACCCTAAACCCTATGTCAGAAACCTTAAAACCCTTCAGTAAATCTTTAACCCTTGGATAAATCCTTAACTTTTTAAAAAATATTTTTAATACGGTCAGGAAAATACCAAATTCTAAACCCTTGGGTAAATTCTAAACATTTAAATTAATCATAAATCATAGGGTTTAAGATTAATCAAAAGATTGAAGATTAATCCAATGGTTTAGAGTTTAGGGTTTAGTGTTATGTTGGCGGTATTAAAAATATTTTTTTTAAAAGGTTTTTGAAGGCAACTACTATTATTTTTATTTATTTTTATCTTTTAATCTTAAAAACATAATATAACTCGATCATATTTGTTTATTCCTTTTTAAAAGATACTGGATAGAAAATAATGAAATCTTATTGGTTGATGAACCTACATGTTCACCCTATAAAGTGAACCCAAAAATTTCTCATATAATAAACCTAAATATCAGACTTCTCTAGCTTTTTTTCCTATTTATTATCTCCGAAGAGAGCGGGGAATAACACTTGATATGTCATGTGTTTAGTTTAAACTTTAAAGAGACCTTTTTTTTTGTCTATGTACTTATGCTATTACAAATTATGGGAAACATTACATAGACGATATTACAGTCGATAATTCTACATTATGCGGATTCACGTGTCACTGCATTATCCAGAGCCATCCTATGAGATATATTCCTGACTGTACTTCTTGCACCATGCTGAAGATCTCTTGTAAGCTTATTTCTCTAATTTTTTCTACATAATTCGTCTTATCCAAGAATTGAAACCTAGAAATTGCATAGTCTGAGGTTCGAACCCCAGATCTAGGTGTAAAATCCTTAATCCCTCGACGACTAGGCAACGGTGGTTCCACAAATAGACCTCTTTAATTCACCAGTATATTCATCTGACTCAAACTTACCTTATTATAATTCCTCTTTTTATGTAGAAATCAGAAAATCCATCGCCTATGTAAAGTTTTTTGAACAAGAAAAGGAATATTAGCTTTATCAAAAAAAAAGGAATATTAGTTGAAATAGTTGAAAAAAGAAAAGTCATCATTTTTTTATATGAAGTCTTTCATTTTGTTTTTGTATGAAGTCTTCATTTTGTTGCTAGAAATAAAATCCTTCAGTTGAGAAATAAAGCCTCCATGTTAGACCCGTGTTGCCTATAAAAGCATTCCTCAAGATAATAGACTTTCCTCATCTTCTCTTGTAAACCCAATCAGATAATTTATCGTCTTTAGAAAATGCATTTCGCTTATTCTTTTTCTGCTTCGTCCACATGGACAATCTTAATCACCTTGGCATGTCTTGTGCTTAGTGCGTCTCTGTCCGATGCTCAACTTACACCTACCTTCTACGATACTTCATGCCCTAACGTCACTAACATCGTACGAGACACCATTGTCAACGAGCTAAGATCGGACCCTCGTATCGCCGCGAGCATCCTTCGTCTTCACTTCCACGACTGCTTTGTCAATGTAAGATATTATTCTTCATATTTCTATTGCCTTTCTGATAATCTATGTGTTCCATCGTATATATATTTTAAGTATCAGTGCAAAACCTAAAAAGTACTGATTGCCACAACGCACACATTACTTTGAGTTAATACACTCTTGTGTTTCAAGTTGAATATCATTTTCGTACTGTTTATTTATGTTAAGTATGTGTTATTTTGGATTCTCAATGTAAATGTGTAGTTTAGGTACAAATTAGTATTCATTTTTATAGAAATGCTACTTTTGTTTGTGTCAGCTGGGGTACGGTATCGAAAATTAAGCTCACTTTACAAGTTTGTTGTAGACGAAATAATCAATAGTAGTATAAAATTTTCACATGATTAGATATCACGTTTGTTTTTTTCTTCACCATATTTTTTTATCTGTTCACCTAGTTTATTTCATTAATTAAATTATTACGTGGACAAAGTAAAATGAATGTACTTAACTTTTTCGACAATGATGATTGGTTACTGGTTAGTTATTACTTATTAGTTTGAGTGATGATGCCAAAACATATACAAGTAAGATCTTGGAGTCACCGAAATGATTTTTTTTTGTTACATTATTTGTTATTTATTTAGAAAGAGCATAGTGCCGTAGCAAACACGGAGTGAATGAAAGATAGGGGTGCAGAAAAGATACTTTTGAAATTAGTCAAAACATGTTGAAACTGTCTAATCGAAGTTTAAATTACTGAGTTCTTATTTTTCTTAAAATATATTAATATATTGTTGTAAAAAATGTTACATGTCATTAAGTAAAACATGGTTTAGAAAATTGTATCTCTCATCACTTCTACTTTCGTCATATGGATGTCATACATTATTGACTAATGATTTGTCAAATAATAATGGAAATATGAAAGGGTTGTGACGCATCGATCTTGTTAGACAACACGACATCATTCAGAACAGAGAAAGATGCAGCTGGGAACGTGGACTCGGCTAGAGGATTTCCTGTGATTGATACAATGAAAGCCGCAGTGGAGAGGGCTTGTCCAAGAACCGTTTCATGCGCAGATATGCTCACCATCGCTGCTCAACAATCTGTCACGTTGGTATGTTCCATTGATCCGTTTTCTATGATTCATTACAAATATATACTTTCTCAGTCTTAAGATCTATCAAAGTCATTATAGACTACAGAATTTGTAATTTAGTATGGACTTTTCAACTATATGACCTGTATTCAAAACTAATCGACAAATATTCAAAACGCGTGGTCCCGTGAAGAAAACTTGACATGTCTAATAGTATTAGACAGTGACAAATTTTAATCTCATCACGAGAATACACTTTTGGTTGGATAAGACTACCTTTTTAGATAGCCAAGTATAGTAACAATCATATTTTTTTAAAACGGGAACTTTATTTGCTAAACAAAGGAGTTTACAAACTTCACTTTGGCTATATAATCAAGGAATTAATTACATGTTTTTCTTTTTATATTTACACATCAAAATTTTCAAATAATAAGAATAATCTCTATAACATCTGCTTTTTTTTTTTTTTTTTTTTCAAAAAAAAAAAATCTCTAAGAACAACAGTTATTCTGAATATATAGGCAGGAGGTCCTTCTTGGAGGGTTCCTTTGGGGAGAAGAGACAGCTTACAAGCATTTTTCAATCTATCTAATGATAATCTTCCTTCTCCCTTCTTCACACTTCCAGAACTTAAAGCCAGCTTTAGAAACGTCGGCCTCGACCGTCCTTCTGATCTCGTTGCTCTCTCTGGTAATTGACAAAAACTTATTAAATATCGTTTGTTATTTCTGTAATTATCGAGTTTATTAATGATCATATGTTCATTCTTTGGTTAGGCGGTCACACATTTGGTAAAAATCAATGCCAGTTCATTATGCGCAGACTATACAATTTCGGCGACACCGGTTTACCTGATCCTACCCTCAACACTACATACCTAGAAACTCTTCGTGGACTATGTCCCCTTAATGGTAACCAAAGTGCCTTGGTGGATTTTGATCTGCGTACCCCAACGGTTTTCGACAACAAATACTATGTAAATCTCAAAGAACAAAAAGGTCTTATCCAGACCGACCAAGAGTTGTTCTCTAGCCCTAATGCCACTGACACCATCCCCTTGGTGAGAGAATATGCTGATGGCACACAAAAATTCTTCAACGCGTTTGTGGAGGCGATGAATAGGATGGGAAACATTACACCTCTTACGGGAACTCAAGGAGAGATAAGGTTGAACTGTAGGGTGGTGAACTCCAACTCTCTACTCCAAGATGTGGTTGAAATCGTTGATTTCATTAGCTCTATATGAGAATAGTATCTCAGTATGTGGCTACCAAAATATATGTTACGATAAATAAGGGCGCTCTCAAGATGTTACTTGAGAATATTTTATTTTAGATCACTAGTTGTTGTTTGGCTTTGTACTCGAAGACTATAATAAATTTTTTTTTCCTTAAGTAATCCATTTACTTCCTAATTGTGTGTCTTTTATTTTATCGTTCTTGTATTGGAGATAAATTTTGATAGATATCTTCAAAATATTTTTCAAACAAGTGCATCATCCCTTAGAAAAACATACAGTATATTTAATCATCACTCTTCACTACTTGTTCATGCTAGTTTTTTAAAATTCTTATGCATTATGATAATTTAATAAACGTTGCTAATTTGCAGAATAGAAGAAGCAAAAGCTATCTAAAATCAAATATGGAGTTATGGATAATGAAACATTGGTATGTCATCTATGCGCATTGGAAATATGTCAATTTTGCCATGTTCTTCTTATATGTGTGTTTATGGTTGCTAAATCTCTTACCTTATTTTCATGTCTTGATCAAAAGGATAGATCTCGAAGTGAGAAGCATACCACCACTACAAGAAAACGTTGTCATAGCGACTAGGTATTACGACTACAGATGTGTAGTTGTAATTTTAAATCGTATTTACGACTACATTACGTCTAAAAAAGCATTAGTCATAACTCAGAGGTTAACTTGCTACCAATAATAATAGACGTACATTAGTCGTAACATAACGACCAATATACGACTACCTGTCCGTGTAAACGTACTCTGTCGTTAAATTACGACTAGTGTACGACCACAGGTGTTTAGGATTTCGGTCAAGGCTTTAATGGTAGGTTGATGCTAATTGGTCGTAATGTACGACTCGATTACGACTAAATGATGGTACAAGATGCTAATTAGTCGTAAAAATTCGAAGCTAAGTAGTCGTAATGTCCCCTATAAAAGAACCATCGTTTGCTCCCAAAAGACAAACAAAAAATTTAAAATATTTTAGATATAGTGTTGAAAGATTTGAAAAAGAAGAGAGAAAGGTACTCGGATCAAAACTCCGAAGAGATCAATGCGAGACGAACGTTGAAACATTGGTTTCGCATAGAATCCACGGAATTATGATTCTAGTATCTTTCTTCTCTTCTTTTCCAAATATTTCTAAACTAATATTTTGAAATATATTAATAAAGAGAGTTGATAATTGAGTCGAAGAGTTTAAAAATGTAAGAAAAAGAGAGAAAAAAGACACTGGGATCACAACTCCAAAAAGATTAATGCGGGATTAACATTGAAACGTTGGTTTCGCTTAGAATCTATGGACTTGTGATTCCAGTGTCTTTCTTCTCTCTTTTTTTTTAAAAATTTATTACAAATGTAGTCCCTAATTGGTCGTAAAGGCCATTTGTCACTCATTGGTTGTAAATTTACGACTATTATACATCTAATATATTTTACCACCAATTAACTACTATTTGGTTGTAAATTGGTCGTAAAATTGCCACTCATTGGTTGTAAATTTACGACTAATATACATCTAATATATTTTACCACCAATGAACTACTATTTGGTTGTAAATTGGTCGTAAAAGTGCTACCAGATTACGACTATTTCTTTTGCATCCATTTTGCATCTGTTTAACTACTAAGTTAACTACCTACCAAAATCGAAATTTCTCTATAAATATGATCTTCTTCCTCATTCTTAAAACGGGAAAAAAAAAACAGAAAACTTTTTTAAAAAATGTCTAGAAATATTTATGAGATCCGGAGTTGGATGTATGCACATAAAGATTCAAGAGGAATAGTAACTGATGAATTTCTCAACGGAGCAGAGATGTTCATGAACCAGGCCGGACAAACGTCTCT